GGCCAAGAGCGCAACCAGAATCTTTTGACGATCGTCTCGATCGTTTTCCATTAATTTTTATGAGGGCCATTCGTTAGCCTTTGGGTATTTCAGGACTGGTTGCAGATTCCATCTATCATTTTTGATATCGGTTTTGATAGGGGGAGACTTGAATTTTAGGAATTAATGGAATTTTTGGCAAGGGAATAATTTCTTAACTTTGTGCATCATTCGTTTGAGGTTTCAATCTATTTTCGAGAGTGGAAAGAAATTGGAAGTGAATTCGATTTTCGAAATTTTGAAATATCTGTATCCAGGTGTATTATTTTGAATCGTGATTTGGAATTTTTTCTTTTTTTTTTTTTTTTTTGGATAATGAAATCGATTGTTTGAAGTTTTTTTTTTTTTAGTTTGAAAAAATTGGAAGTAAATTTAAATATAGATATGAAATTTTGATCTTATATTTTTTAATGAAGATATTATTAATTGCCGTTTGTAAGAGAAGAAAATGTCTTGAATAAAATTGTTGAGAGAATGAATAATTATTAAAGACATGAATGTAGATAGAGATACTTTTGTGTGGAGGAAAGGAACATTGTTGTAATTAATATATTTATTCGTGACTGTTCTCGCTTCTGTTATCGTGTGGGCGGCAATTATGCTTTGTCTTTGTAAAGTTATTATTAACTAACTGTGAGATGCGTTGTAAAATATTGTAATGTAAAATTCTATTTTATTCGTTCTTCTAACATTCGGTTTGAAATTGTCTTTTGATAAAACATTATATTTAAACATTATACTTTTAATATAATATATTCCTTATTTATACTTATTAAAAATAAAATAATCATCTTGAACGAATGAATATACATCGTTGTGTTCGTAAAGTCAGCGTGTATCGATATCGAATTAAATTTCACTCGAAGAAATCCAACGACAACAACAACAACAACAACAACAACAAAATTAGATCCAGTACGCAATTTCTTCGAAAGTTTAAAAAAAAAGGATCGAGTCATCGTCGAAAGAATTATTATCCAGAGTAAAAGTTCCAGCGCGAACCGAAATCCTTCATTGCTCTAATTCATTGCAATTCCCTTATCGTCGATTTCGTTGTGTCTCACGGGGAGATAGCGAGTTGGCCCCTTGGAAAAGAGAAAATACCGTGGAACGGTAAAAAGAGAGAAAAGAAGGGAAGAAGGAATGAGGAGGAAGAGAAGAAGAAAGAGGAAGAGAGAGAGAGAGAAAAAAAAGATAAAAAAGTGGGCAGTCGAAAGACGAATTTAGTTGCACAGCGTGTAAGTTACGTTTTCGTAGCAGCCGAGCGGGTGATCCTAGAACGTAGCTCGCCAAGGGGGTTGTTGGTTCGTCGACGGCTAGGTTAAGGGTTGGAAACGGAAGTGCGGCAAGACGGTGCCGGCGGTGGAAGGCAACGGACGTTGTAGGGGCGCGGGTGGGCCGAACGGCTACGAAGGAAGGCAGAGGCAGGCTCGTCGAGGGGGTGAAACGTAGAGAGCGGCAAGGAGGAGGTTGGAAGGGGGTGAGGGAGAGAGAGAGAGAAAGAGAGAGAGAGAGGGAGAGGGAGGGAGAGAAGAGGGGAAGAGAGAAGGAGCGAGAGAGAGAAAGAGAGAGAGAGAGGGAGAGGGAGGGAGAGAAGAGGGGAAGAGAGAAGGAGCGAGAGAGAGAAAGAGAGAGAGAGAGGGAGAGGGAGGGAGAGAAGAGGGGAAGAGAGAAGGAGCGAGAGAGAGAAAGAGAGAGAGAGAGGGAGAGGGAGGGAGAGAAGAGGGGAAGAGAGAAGGAGCGAGAGAGAGAAAGAGAGAGAGAGAGGGAGAGGGAGGGAGAGAAGAGGGGAAGAGAGAAGGAGCGAGAGAGAGAAAGAGAGAGAGAGAGGGAGAGGGAGGGAGAGAAGAGGGGAAGAGAGAAGGAGCGAGAGAGAGAAAGAGAGAGAGAGAGGGAGAGGGAGGGAGAGAAGAGGGGAAGAGAGAAGGAGCGAGAGAGAGAAAGAGAGAGAGAGAGGGAGAGGGAGGGAGAGAAGAGGGGAAGAGAGAAGGAGCGAGAGAGAGAAAGAGAGAGAGAGAGGGAGAGGGAGGGAGAGAAGAGGGGAAGAGAGAAGGAGCGAGAGAGAGAAAGAGAGAGAGAGAGGGAGAGGGAGGGAGAGAAGAGGGGAAGAGAGAAGGAGCGAGAGAGAGAAAGAGAGAGAGAGAGGGAGAGGGAGGGAGAGAAGAGGGGAAGAGAGAAGGAGCGAGAGAGAGAAAGAGAGAGAGAGAGGGAGAGGGAGGGAGAGAAGAGGGGAAGAGAGAAGGAGCGAGAGAGAGAAAGAGAGAGAGAGAGGGAGAGGGAGGGAGAGAAGAGGGGAAGAGAGAAGGAGAGAGAGAGAGAGACCCACCACCACCGAGGGACCAAGCTTTTTTCTTTTTTTTTATCGATTCCATCGATCCAACTCCCCGAGTCAGCTCAACTACTCCCTGGTCCCTCTCCTCACTATATATATATATATATATATATTTTATATATATACCTTCTCGTCTACTACGTTCGTCATTATCCTCGCCGTCTTACGTAATTCGATCGCCAAAGGATGCACCGTACCCTCTATTCTATTACGTCACGCGCTCGTTTCGGATATAGATCCGGTCCGCTTCTCTCTATTCATCGTTATATATATATATAGAGCACGAGTTCACAAGAAACGATATTATCGAAGTGTATACGGAGAGAGCAGATCTTTTTTTTTTCGAATGTGCTCTCTCTCTCTATTTCTCTCTTTCTCTCTCTCTTTTTTTGCTTTTAAACGAGAAGCGTCGATGTAATAATAACGACGCAAACGGATTGATGAATTAGTTGCATCGCTTTCGATTGAATTGCAGATGTAATCAGTCTTCTGATCGAATCCGTATCGCGTTACAGAATGTATGCAAATAAACGTAATTGGATGAGTCGAGGGTGAAAGTGGATGAGGATAAATTAATTTGATGTAATTTTGAAAAAAATTCCGGTATATAAAACGCGAGATAGAATTCGGGGAAATGGGAGGGGAACTTGGGAGGAGTGTGAACGAACGTATACTTATTTTTCTTCACTTTTCGCCGATCTGCGTTCGTTCTTTGAAAGAAATTCGATTACACAGGCTAATTGATCGTGCCCCGCAATCCTTCCCGTTGGTTTAATTTTAATTGTCCGTTTATTGCTCTCATCTATTTAGTTCAGGTCGTGTAAATTATTCGCATCCAGCGGATGACAGTAAAATAGGAAGGGAAAAGGGGACAAAGAGCTTATAACATTAAAACGCCGCAGCCGCAGGCAGGGTTTGTTCTAAGCCTTAAATCCTTTGCAATCTCCCTCCGTTTTGACTTGTTGTTCTAGAATTATACAATTTGCCGTAAAAACCATAAAGAGGATATAATATTTTGCTTTATGTAATGCTTATTCTTCTTTGGTTATGCTTAATTGTTTTTAAAACAGGAATTGGAAAGCGCTCTTTCCAAATCGTTCTCTGATGTTTCCAGATAGGATTAGAGATTTGGTCTGGTTTCTTTTTTTTTTTCCATCCCTTTGACAACAGTCTTTCTCTACTCCTTCATTGTCGCCAATCGTTCCTTGTCTTTCTTGTCTTATCGTACCCTTTTTTTTGAATCTCCGTTGTAAAGTATATTACAGTTAATTATAACACCGATTGATTCTATCGATATCGATTTATAAATGGTTTCTTTCCTTTTTCTTTTTTTAAATTATTTATCGAGATTAGCAAGACGTTTTAACTCGAGACGTTTTATCTTCTTGTTTATTTTTTTTTACATCGTTGTAAAATTATGTTGATATATTCTTGCAAGTAATAAAGGATTGAAACGTCGTTTTTACACGAGACGTTTCGCTGTATTCAAAATTCCCGGAGGAAAATGTAGAATACATCATCCGACAGATATCTTTTTTATACCAATCGTGAAGAGAAAAGTACCTTATACGAACATCCAATTCGGTTTGCACTGCATTTATGCATACCTCTCTTTTAGACCATGGCAACTCTGTCATGCAGAAAATAGCACCGCCACGAGAAAGGGTGG